TTGTGCACCAGCACCAACCAATCTACACCAACCAATTAATTTGCAACATGTTAGTGCACTTTAGAAATCACACCCGTATAGGGCACATTACCCTGCTGTGGAAACGAGCCCAAAGTCTTGTTGATTTTCAATTATAGGTAGGTTCCTAGATGCCCGAGTCATTTTTGAAAATGGGCCTTGGACACCTAAATCACTTAGGTGCTTTTGAAAATTTTACTCATAGGGACAGATTCTGCCATCCTTACTCCTATGGAGTAGTAATTCAGACCACAAGTAGTCCCATGATTTAAATAGGACTAGTCAAGAAACGATGTTAGAGGAAAGTACTACTCAGTGTGAGTAAAGGTGGCAGAATCTGGCCACTGGGAGTTAATGGCACAGCTAAGAATAGAACATGGTGTCCAGATTCCCAGACCAGTATCCTATTTACTGGACAACACTGCCTCGAAGTAGTGGCCATAGAGGCATTAGTGGCATGACCCACATCTTGCTGGTGAGTTAGGAATTGGATTTTATACCCCCTGACCACTACCATCACTGTGCGCCCTTATAGAAAATCCTCTTACATAAGCTTCAGTGAGGATGAGGGTGGTAAAAAGTGAAATTCTGCTAAGGTTAGTAGTAGTGGCTTTTCCTTGGGAACTGTTAAATAGTCCTAGGAACTGGAGAAGGAGAAGATCAGTTGGTCATCTTGTACGCCCCCACCACATATATTAATTTTGGGTTGAAAACACGTGACATTAGAAAGAGAAGGATAACAGTGGCATATGAGTCAGAGGATTATTCCACTTATAACATGGAGTACTGGAAAGTAAATGGTCAATTTTCATAGATTTTATTTTTTTACATGTTATATAATAGCGTGTCCTGGAGAAATCTGCTGTGTTAATGCAATGTAATTAGGTTGTATGTCTCTAGTGACAAAGTGTATCTCAAAGTGCTGTATAAAAAGTTACACCCTATCATTTTAATGGGTCAAATTCTGCTCTTAGTTGCAGTGAAGTCAATGAGGTTGCAAAGGGGTAAGAGAGTAGAGTTTGGCCCACATTGTATATGTTTTCAATATTTATCTAACATGGAGTGAATCACAGTTTCCTCAGATACATTCTGTTTTTTCAATACTTCACATGGAAAGTTTTATTTTTATATTTTGGACATGACTTAAAATCAAGCGCCTGGACCACTTGTGATCATTAAAGATTTTATGGCACTTTTGGCAGAATGTTAGCCCTGGTGACTTGCCAAATTCCAATTTAGGCTTTGTGTAATTACTCATCTAAAATTTCCATACAGTTTTCATTGGGTATAGTGCTCTTCCTCACTTCTTCCACTGAACATTTCTGTAGTGTTGCTATGCACTGTTAAACAGTTGTTGAGTGCCACCCCAGAACTGACTGCCTTTCAATAGTTAAAGTGATTTTTGTATACTCTCTCTGTGGCGTAATTCTGCAAAAGCCGATGAATATGTTCTGCAAATGGTGAGAGCCCTCACTTCCCAATTAAGTCAATGCTCAGTACTTAACTTTATAAACTAAGGGCCCAGTCCTATAATTTGGCATTTTTTGGCATTAAAGTTGTTACTGTAAATGATGCAAGTAGCGACACCTATATTTAAGATTGGCTGATACTTCCCATTATAACACCCTGTTTTCAGTTGCTTATAACTGCCAAACTTTAAGAATTTGGGATGATATTTTTTCATACTGGGTCCGCCTCCAGCTGATTTTTTCCCCCCTCCAGAAAATTTCAGCAGAAATAGTTCAGCCATTTCTCAGAACAATATTAGGGAAAAAATACATTATTAAAAAATTACCATGTTAAAAGATTCTTACAATAGTTTCATTGAGAAACTCTAGCGCCTCTATGCTTGGATCAGAGACTTGAAACGTAGGTAGTCAGCCTGGTGTCAGGGATGTGCCTGTTGCCACTCCTGTGAAAATCTACCTAACTTTAACCAAGTTATGACACTTTCAGTTCGCATCTATTCAGTGGGGTCTTGTTAGAGTTTGTCAACCAAATGCTCCAAAGATTCTGTCTACACTGAGGATGCTCCATCCCAGGGCTGCAGGGGCTGGGCAGGACTTTAGGTTGAATTACTGCTCCCAGCTACTGCGGCTATTGCGGTACTGGACACAGAAATGGAAAGCAGGGAGACTGTATCTCCTGTGGACTCAATTCTCTCCATGTTGATGCCCAGTCAGCAAGGAGAAGGAGGAGGAATGGAGAGGGGGTGGCGGCTCCAAGCACAGACAGTGGAGACGGGAGGGGGGGAAGGAACAGGTCAGTGCACTGGGAGGGGGGGTCTCCCAAGCCCCCACTGCAAAACAGCATACCCACACCCCGTCGCCAGCAACTGAGATGGAGGGGATAGCTCAGTGTGGGGGGTACGATGTCCCTGATACTCCCCGCTGCAAAATAGCAACACTTCCCGCCCCACACTTTGCAAGCCAGATGCTGAGGAAGGGAGTAGGAAACTTTCCAGCTGTGCCACTGCTGCTTCCCCGACCTCAGCTCCTCCCTCCCCCCCAAAAAACCCTCTCTTCCAGACCTTCCCCCCTGCATATGCTGTCCACACAGGCAGGCTCTGTCAGGTAGGGCAAATGGACGGGGCTGTATGCCCTGGACCTGCGCTAAAGTGCCAGAGTTAGGAGGGGAGTGGAAAGACACAGTTTGGGGGGAGCAATGCCCCATATGCCCCCCAATCTCCACCTTCGAATGCGACGTCACAAATGTTGCTCTTATCTGGCAGCTATGTTGCTGTTACCGGGTGGACAATTCACAGTAGGGAAAGTGTTCCTTGCAAGTGGCGGTTGCTATTACAAGATGTTGTTGCAAATAAGTTTCTACTGTATCCATTTCCCAGCATTCCATTCTGCCTCTGGGAGGTTCCACTTGACCCTTTTACACTCCCCTACTATCATACCAATTTGTTTGATGAAAGGATTGCAGAGCTCCTACTGATGGACCTATAACTAGAGCTGTCAACATTTTTTCATCAAACAGTAATTGAAATAAAAAGTGGGTTTTTCTCTCAAAAATGAAAATTTTTACTCAAAAAATAAATTGGCTTTCAATTTTTAAAAAATTGGTTTTGAAAATAGGTTTCCTGAAAGCACAAATGTTCATGTCAAAAACAGTTTTAGAAAAATAAAATAAAACATTTTTGCAGGGAATTTCAATGAAAAAACAACAACCCTGAAATGGTTTTGGAATTTCCCATGAAAAAAAAATTGGTGTCTGTGAGTTATAGCTTGAATTGCAACCCTTTTTCAGTAACGAAACTCATGCTCCTGAGGTCACTTTGTTCGTGATGCCTATGCCAGCCAGCATGTAGCTGTTCCCGGGATGGCCAACCCAACTGAAGCTGTATGCATCTTGCTAGCTGGCCTACAGTTCCAGTGATCCTTCTCTACCCTGGAATTCTCTCTAGCTATTCCTTCCCACTTGCTAGCCTACCTGCTTTATTGTCCGTCCTCCCCCCACCCACCCACCCACCCCCCCCCACCACTCTTCTCCCTGGCCCACAATCTGCTGCCCCACCCCTCCTTACACGTAGGGTTGCCATGCATCCGGTTTTTGACCGGAATGCCTGGTGGAAAAAGGACCCTGGTGGCTCCGGTCAGCACTGCTGACCGGGCCATTAAAAGTCCAGTTAGTGGCGCAGCGGGGCTAAGGCAGGCTCCCTGCCTGCCCTGGCTCTGCACAGCTCCCTGGAAGCGGCCAGCATGTCCCCGCAGCCCTTAGGAGCAGGGGCAATCAGGGAAGCTTCCGCATGCTGCCCCTGCCCCCAGCATTAGCTATGCAGCTCCCATTGGCTGTCAACCACGGCTAATGGAAGCTGTGGGTGCAGGGCCTGCGGGCGCAAGCATCGCGCAGAGCCGCCTGGCCCCTTCGCCTAGGGGCTGGACATGCCGGGCACTTCCAGGAGCAGTGTGGAGCCAGGGTAGGCAGGAAGCCTGCTTAGCCCCACTGCACCGCCAACCGGGAGCTGCCTGAGGTAAGCGCTGCCCGGATGGAGCCTGCACCCCGAACTCACTGTCCTAGGCCAGAACCCCCTCCCGCACCCTAACTCCGTCCCAGACCCTGCACCTCCACTTCCATGAAATGATACTTCAAAACATCAATCTTTTGTATAAACCTTTGCTTTCAGTCTCAAATAGGAACAGATCATCCATTTGGAACAACTCATCAAAGTAGCAGGGTTTGACTCATCTTGTTCTTTAATTCATTCTATGTTAATATGTCCTGGACAATAGGTTTACGGTATAGCTCAGATAATCCATAACATAGATAGGTAAATCCAGAGACTCTGTGTTATGCTAAGTACTTAGACTACCAGAAGGCAATAGTTCCCCCAAACATTCTCTCTCAAAGCAGAGATCTCTTTTCTCCTAAGGCTGTAGGTAACACATCAATTTTAGGCCAAAACCAGAAGGGACTGACATGCCACTATTTATCCACAAAACAAGCCGCTGTAGTGTAAGCTTCCTCACCACTCTGCCCCCATAATGTGCCTCACCTCTGACCTGCAGGAACTGTATCTAGGGCCAAGAAGAGGAGTTCGCTCTCTGTGGCCAATTTAATCCTTAACCTCTCTGCTGAGACTACTGACAAGGAGGCCAATTAGTGCCAATTATGGTGGTGGACTTTGTGAAGAGAACACCTGTCCACAGGGACCACCATCTTATTTCACATAAGCAACTGAATAGCCACCAGATGGTAACATCACTGAATCTCTGCTGACTTGGAATGGATTCAGACTAGCATCCTAGGGATGAAAGGTTCCCTAGCCCTATTACCAATCCCCCGAGCTATCCAGTCTCCTGGTTCTGATAATTTCTGAGCTTGCAAGGTTTCTGTGATCCATGAAGTGAAAAATTTGTTTTTTCTGCTGGAATTGCAAGAATCCCTGCGGCTCTGGGGTCTCCTTTTTATTTTGGTGTCATTTAGATTATTTCCTGCTTTATTTCTTCATGCTGTTTTTCTTGTTTTCCCCTCAGATCCTTGACGATCAGTTTGTGCTCTTCTCCTGAAGGAGACCTTTTCTGTGTCTCATGTAAGTACTCAGCATTTTGTACCTTTCAGTGACAAGAGTCATGTGTTTTATTCAGGGCCCATTCAAGCAAATCTGAAGCCCCTGTGAAGTATTTGCTAGGTCTCTCTGGCTGCAAGGCTTGTTATTCAATGTGTATCCTTGTTCTACCCAGTTGTCCCAAACTTCTGTACAGCATCAGTTTGTGATACTCAGAATGGTTCATTTTCACTGTGTGATGGGGAGAATAGGGAGCATGTGCAGAAGTGGTGTGTGTATTTCTAGATTGAATTAGGGAGGCAATGGATGGAGGATTCCTGTTAGATATGAGGAAAGCCTGCCATGATTTCCTAATGGATATTATCCCATCCCAGAGCTCTCATTCAGCACAAAGCAGCTTGTATTCCACATCATCCAGGACTGGAAAAGGTACAGAAAATATTTCATTAGCATTTCAACCTGTGCTTGCTGGGATACAACTTCATGACCTGGAACGCCTGCAACTGCAAAGTTGGCAGCAGTATGTGAACCCTCACTGCTTATATTGACCATCAGCATAGTTTTCACTAAGTCTTAGTGTACGTAATATAGTTTCTTTAGCATGCCCCAACAATAGAGGCGACGCGTGGTGGCACACATGGGGTCACATGCCCCTCCAGATTTCTGCCAGGGTTCATATGCCCTGCCGCATACCACCAGAACCTTTAAATCAGAGGTTTTCAAACTTTGGGGCACACCCCCTAGAGGGTGTGGAGGAACGTTCGGGGTGGGAGGGGAGGGAAGGGAAGGGGAGGGGGAGTGATGATGCCAGACAGCTTGGGCTTCAGCCCGGCAGGACTGGGGAGGGAACGCCATCTCTACCCTGACTCACCTTTTTTTTTCTGGGTTTGGGGGGTGCAAACAAAAACTGTAACTCAAAGTGGGGGGCTCTGCTCAAAAAATTTGAAAAACTGCTGCTTTAAATTGTGGGCCCCCCCACTATCAACAGTTACGGGTCATTTCTGCCCAACAATGCTAGAGTTTAAAAAAAATCTATCAGTGGTTTCCTTTGCAAACCTATGTTATGCATGGCTTTTCACTTGGGCTTGGTCGTTGGTATGTAAGTTGTCAGCTCAGTGATTTTTTTTTTCGTTGAAAAAAATATTGCTTTAATTTAGGGAGTTGTTGTTTGAGATCTGGGGCAGCAAAAATGTAAAATTCTCTCATGGATTGAGGTTTGCTTTTTACAAATGTTGCCAAGTTCTAAGATATGGTGTTTTTTTAATTAAACAAGTTTACATTTTCCTAATATTTCATAATACATTGGCATTGTGAAATCTAGTGATTCTGTAAAACAGTAAGACTTCTTAATATAATATATAAGGAACTTTAGCACTGCCAAGCAGTCATAATCGTAACAGGTAATTAGAGAAAGGCCAGAACTAAGGACAAAATTTTCAAAAGTGTCTGCTAACTTTTTGCGCCTCAGTTTGAGTGCCAGACTTGAGACCCCTTGAACCTGATTTGCAGAGGCATTGAGAATCTGCAGCTCCCATTGACTTCAACTGAAGTTGACACCTCTGAAAATGGGGCTTTAGATATCTTAAATGGGAATGCAAAATTACTGGGTGTTGAACATTTAGGCCTAAAACTCCAGATCCAAACTTTGGGGGTTTTAAGATGTGTTCTACTTTTGCAGCCTAAACCCATGTTCAATACTTGTTCAATGGAAAAACAATTGAATGTTAAAGAACTGTTTGGAAGAAAAACAATGTAACAAGCAGCTCTTTTTTAATTTTCTGGAAGCATTTACATCTGCAAGTTTATACACAAGTTATTTTTGTTTGTTTGTTTCTGGGAATATTTTTCAAAGTAGAACTAAAAAGGGAGTGGAAATTCTTAATTTCTTCAGGTGTGTGCTGAAACGTTCTAGCACCCTACAGAGTGTTGTTTGGTTGGTATCAAACATTACAACATGTGACTTTGAGATTTAAAGTTGACTCACAACATTTGCCATGTTGCTGAGGGAAAAATGGAACATTTTTTCCCATAGGAAAAATTATAGCCAGAGATATGATATGATTATTGCACAAAGTGGTATGACAGTGCCAACTCGTATGCAGATGAATTTGCCTGTGCTTATGTGGTCCCCATATTTCTTTCCTTTCCTCTTTCTCTTTCATTATAAGGTGTCCCGTACTCATAAATTACAATGTCCTGCTCCACTTTCACTCTGGTGTATTTGCTACATATAGGTAGGAGTCTATGCATATGCGTAGAGCTCCTATTTATGTTAGTAGCAGTGCCAGGCTTGTACATCAAGGGGCGCAGAGGCCTTCAAAAATGAAGTATGGCTTACGTGTAATGTGACATTTATTTGACTGAGTAAAGAAATTGATTAAAGTCCACCAGCCCATTGCCATCATGTATTTGTCCAACAGGGGTGGTTCATAATGGCCCCTAACAAATTCTGTTATTGTCACTGCAGAACTTCAGAGTATCGATAGAAAGTATGAATGATGCTCAAAGGCTTCAAATGTGTACATTTATGTTAATCCTTTCTCCATCAGAAGCCATTCATGGAAACACAGGGGACCACATGGCATCAGCATTTATTGTAGTTGACCATTTCATCATTGTTATAGTTCTGTTTTATAAACTAGCTCTGTGCTTCAAATCCCACTCTGTCAATGATTTACCATGTGATGGTGAGCAACTCATTTCCCCTCTCTAAGCCTCAGTTTCCTAATCTGCAACACTAGAGAGTCGCACACTTTGTTGTGTCTGTAGGCGGAGTTTGTTGCACACACTGAGGTTCCTTTCATTCCCTCCTCCCCCAACACCCTCTCATCTCTCTCTATTTCAGGAACATATATAAATATGTAAGCTTGTATACGTTTTAATTTCTTTCTTTCTTTCTTTCTTTCTTTCTTTCTTTCTTTCTTTCTTTCTTTCTTTCTTTAAGCTAAATTATTCAGGGTGTAGACATTTCAATTCTGTTGGGAGAATGGGCAGAGCTGAGATGGGGGTGTTGTTATGCTGGAAGGTGTTAATGACCCTTACATCTTTTTGAATGTCCTGCTCTGAAAATGCCATTTATTCCACAGCTTCATGAAGTCCTCTCTAGTAGAGTAATGATGACCTAAAGGAAGCTGAGTGGCAACCTGTTGACCTCATCATAGATATGAAAATCATCAGTCAGATGGTCAATGATATGTGTGTCAAAGCACAATTGGCAGTGTTCCAGACTGCTAGTTGCCAGTGTCTGAGCATGACTATTCATTATATCAGACAGATGATATTAAAATAGTCTCTGATATCTATATGTGTGTTCCATGCTGCTGGAACTTGCTCATCAATTAATTATCCTATAGTCAGCATGCTGTAGCATAGAGTTTTGTACAAATGTCAACTAGCTAACCCTTTCAACACTCCTGTGAAGTTTGTTAGTATCATTATCCCCATTTTACAGGCGAGGAAACTGAGACATAGCATAAGTGACTTGCTCAGTGCAACACAGGAAGTCAGTGATAGAGACAGCGCTAAAAATCAGGAGTTACTGGTTCCTAGTCCACTAGACCACATTGTCTCTCACAAGAGTCACACAATCTTTCTTGACATGAGAACAGAAGTCCTTACTGTTGCATGTCTGGAGTTAATGATTATTCAAGATTGTCAAAAAACAGGGTCAATATGAATTATTTAATCAAAGATTATCAATCAGAAATTAATTTGGCACTATACAGAATACAGAAAGAATAGATACATTACCACCCTTGATGTAAGGTGAAGAGCTGACTCTGTGTCTCTTCCTCACTGCAACTGGTGGGATGCTCAGTTTCATTCCCCAACTAAATTCCACAACTATTCTGTCTATATAGGGTTTTTAGACAAAGAGACCCTTCTTTGCCAGAAATCCCTTGCCAGAACCATATGTTCTGATGTCATTTCTTATGTTCTGATAGGATTTCCTTTAATATCTGTGAATTCTTAGTTTAAGAACATAAGAATGGCCATACTGGGTCAGACCAAAGTGGCCAATGCCAGGTGTCCCAGAGGGAATGAGTAGGTAATCATCAAGTGATCCATTCCCTGTTGCTCATTCCCAGCTTCTGGCAAACCGAGGCTAGGGACACCATCCCTGCCCATCCTGACTAATAGCCATTGCTGGACCTATCCTCCATAAATTTATCTAGTTCTTTTTTGAACCCTGTTTATAGTCTTGGCCTTCACAACATCCTCTGGCACAGACTTCCACAAGTTGACTGTGCGTTGTATGAAAAAATACTTCCTTTTGTTTGTTTTAAACCTGCTGCTTATTAATTTCATTTTGTGCCTGATTTATGTGTGAAGACATAATTATTTATGGCTGAGAGGACTGATGTTCTTCACGATAATATCTTTCAGTGGATCTTTTTTTCCCCATAAGCATTCTTCCCTATTGATTTCCCAATAGGAAACATCTGCTGTAACAATCATCAGAATATCTGGAGTTCTATGAACATGGAGGTGCCAAGGATTATTAGATATAGTTTAATTCATAGAATTCCTGAATAGGGTGATTTACAGGTTAAGAATCAGTGTATTTAATGACAAACTAACTTTCAGCAAATTCAGGAAATATGAGGCAGACCGAATGCGCCAGTAACAGCCAACAAAAGCTGTTGCAATGGTCACAACATAAAAAACTGCTATAAAGCATCTTTCTGTTTATCAGAGTTGTTGAGCATTTAGATACACTAGCACTTTTCCCAGTATCTGACAGGAGGATATGACCATCTAGGCCAACTAAGAGCATTTGCATGACAAAAGGGCTATAGTATAATAAATCTTACAGTATCTAGTAATTTTCTTCCTGAAGTATCCCAGGTTGCTTAATAAACTGATATACAAACTATCCCCGAGAATCACTCCGTCCACCTCTGAAATTCAGCTCTTTGGAGGGGAAATGGAGCATCTGCTTAAGGTGGATGGTAATACTACACAACATTTTGGGATAGAAAATGAAGAGTACCTTTCCCAATTACTGAATATCTTCTGAAGAG